TATTAATTTATTTAATAATATAATTTATATCGTATTATTGATATGAAATTTTGGTTTTCAAAATTTTCTTTTAAGTTTTCCAATGTTCAGCTTATATATATTAATATTATATATATTTTATACATTTCTGGGTTGAAAAAAAAAAAAGGAAAAAAAAGCATGTTCAAAAAAAAAAAAGAGGGAAAAAAGAAGGCTAAAGTATTGCATTCACAAACTACGACATAAGCCGCCAAACTAACCCATTTTCGCACATAAAGCCCTAAACTATTTTTTATCCTTACAAGCCCCTAAACTTTGGGATATAAGCAACCCTTGTTAACGGTTTCGATACCACTTGTTTAAAATCTGATTACGGCAGTAAAAGAAAATAGTTAAATAATAGTTTAGTGCATGTACTTCTCAAATTTTAAAGAAAATTAATCCCTGCACTTAAACAAGTTTTACTAAAAAAATTTGAGAAATAAAAAAGTATCAATCCTATTAGCAGACCCCACCATGGTTTTCATCTTTCAAGAAATCCATTAAACATAATTTTCCAAATTTCTACCCGACCCATCTCAGAATCAAAATGAAAAATTAGAAAGGCAAAAATGTCATGATATATATATTTTAATATTCTTGTTTTCTCTAATGCAAGAAAGTATGATTTTATATTGATCTAATTGTGAGAAGAATATCACGTAAAGCTAAAATAAAATCTATTCATGAATTATGTAAGGATAAATTTTTAAATATTCTTTAAATAATTTAAGTACTTAAAGATTTCATAATTAGGGAGCTAAAAAAAAGTTAGTTGAGCTTAGCTTCTTACTTATATTTACAAATAATATGTGAATGAAACTCAATTATAACCCTCAATTATTTTTTTTTCATTTATTTAATAATTAAATCTAAAATCTCATTTATTTTTACAATTTATTAATATTTTGATTGAAAAAAAGTTATCTCATAGATTATATTTCAAGAGCTACTATTAATTATATATATTCTGATCTCTAAATTTTTTAGAAAGAATTAGTTAAATAACAAGAATTTATTTTACTATAATCCTTTTTTTTCAGTTGATTTTGGGATGCATTGGAAATATGATGTTGAGCAGATTTATCGTGACTTGTGACATGGAAGCCATGTTGAGAATTTTTTTTTTTTTTTTTATATC